AGGGTAGATGAGCATGGACTATACACATCCTGTTAGCCACCTCGGCCTAGTACCCAAGGGCTCAATTACGCTACATACCTTTGTGAGTTGGCGCTCGGCCTGCCATGACCGGGCCAGAGGGTGGAAGTAACCACCATGAAGCTGGCTTGAAATGTCGCCGGAAATGCTGACGCTGGTGGCAGCAGTGCTGGTGTAGGACATAGCACGCGAGACGTGTGAAGCTCGGTCATCGAAAGTCGAGGCGGATGAGCGGGGACCGGGGATCTGAGGGCGCCGAGCGCCATTGGAGTCGCGAAGGCTCAAGTCCTGAACAAGGCTGGAGAAAGACATGATGCCGATTACGATTGATGTTGTTTTGGAGAGACGATGGCTGGTCTTGAAAGGATGAAGAGCAAAAGTTTCAGGGCGAAACAGATGGCGGGCCTCGGGGGTAAGGTGGCCAAAAATTCAACGGACGGGTTAACTGGGGGTCCTTGTGATGGGCGGAACAGGTCGGAAGGATGGCGATAGGAAGATGAAACAACGCAAATCACGAACAGCAAGACAAGGGGTATCGAGAGGATTTGAATTGAAGGAGTAGAGTAACACAAGAGGCAAGTCGACCGTTGGGGAGGGAAGAGACGATAGTTAAAAGGCTGAGCGCCAAGGACCAGAATCTTACGGAGTAAGGTAGATAGAACAGCAATTGCCAATGAGAGCGTTGGTATACCTAACTGAGCATGTGCACGCGGCGTGGTCGGTCAAGTTCGGAAAGTCTGAGGCCCACCCAATCAGAGGAATCAATCACCCACCGACTCCATTTCATCGCCCAATCGCAATCGCTTGCCACTGGAAAATTTCCTCAACTGTCTTAGCTGAGCTGCGCCGGCGACTGCCGACCTCGCTTCACTGCCATCGAACCAGCAGATAGACCCTTAAACAGAACCTCGGAATCCTTCTGTTTGGGGATTTTTCTTCTTCTTCTTCTTCTTACAAGGGTAGATTCGGAGGGGCCGTCCTGACCGGGTGAGACAGTTCGATCAGTTGCCGCCAGATTCTAGTCTCAAGCTTGATGGAATTCTGATATATCTGCACCGGAACTCGTCCAAAGTCTTCCAAAGATCCGTTGACTCATTTAAGAGGCCATGGAAGACTGCCAGCCGAGCCCCCAACCCCGCAAGCCAATAACGGCCCCGACTTTTCCAATTCCGTGCCCCGACCCGCCCTTGACGCTCTATCTTTCAGGCCGTTGCCGGCAGGCCGGAACAAGTGGGGGGTTTTCCGGAGATGTCACCGCAAAGACATGCCATAGCCCCTCAGGGAGCAAGAAAACTCAAGACATAAGAAAGTGGGTGCTAAAATAAACTTAGTAAAGAGTCCCTAAACTTAGGCTAGATTTACCTAAATATCTTTTGTCATTTAGGGTCAAGGTTCTGAGTTTTCTTTCCTCCCCCAGCGCGAGTCTCTTATCGCGTGATCTGATGTTTGGCATTTCCTCGGATCGTGGAACCATAGATTGATTGTCGTCTCATGATGAACAATGCTTCTTGATATTCTCTATGCTTTATTGCGGCTGATGGTATATTTTTTAAGTTTACAAGTCAGTCTCGAAATCTATATCAGGCATCTCCGAGATCCAGTATAATTCAAACATTCATTACCCCTCAGGAGGCAAAGCTTCATTGGGTCAATATCATCATAGTTACCTTCTCAGTTTGCGAAGCTTCAGGCGGCGGCAGCCTTAATCCTGAGAGCTTTACATGAATAGTTAATGGCTGAAGAACTTCATCCATCTTGGCATTCCATGTGGGCAAAAACTGAGCATATTAAGCCTAGGCGATTAAATCTGGGATGTTTTCAACCTTCAACTTGGTTAGATAACGGCTGCTGAGGCTCATAACGGGATACTTAACACAAACAAGAAAGAATCTGACTGTTCCATACAAGTATCCACCATGTGTTGTTTTCCAGCAGCCCGGGTTATCTTCAACTGCCTCTCCTCTTCTGGCCAGATACACGATGCTCCGAAACTCACTTGGTTGCTTGATTCACGAAATGAGCGCCAGGGGAAACCAGCTCTTACCAAGGGGAAGGATCCTACCGCATCCCTGTACCGAACGTATGAGTATCTGCTCGTTGGGTATACCGTCGGTCTTCGCTCTGAGTGAGAGTACTTCTTCAACCAATCGACATGGTCTGTGAAGGCTATTCCAGATCCAGCCTGCTATGCGATCATTGCTGTTCTCACACACTACCTCGCAGTGACCTTTAACCGACTCATCAACAGAGGCTTACCCTGGTGTTGCTCTGCAATTATCGCCAGTGCAGAAGCCGAGGCGGAACTGTGTGCCCGTAAAGTAGTTCTTGAAGTTCAACCACCCCGGGCCAAGGCTGTACGTCGTCTGGATGAGCCAATTACTAACCCGGCCTCTTCCTGTGAATAGCCAGAGGACAGATTCCGAAGCACTGAGCTTCTGGCTATGAACATAATTGCTGCTGAGCCGCATGTGGCCTTTGTTTAGAGCTGAACCTAATATACCCAAGTGCTCTCTTAGTCACTTCGATAAGTTAATTAAATAATGATTCTGATTGGTTTTCTCTTCTCATCATCCCTAAGTCCACCGACCATTGCTGAGTTTACAAGTTGACAGGTCGTCATCGCCGGCTTCTGTCTCATTAGGAGCGACCTTAAAAACTCCTTGAATACCTTCATTAGACTCCAGAAGGTGCTATCACATAAGGCTTTCTCGTATGTCTTCTGCAATCTATCAAACACCACAGTTTCCTGTCCATGTCCTTCGTGTACATGCCCGAAAACATGCAGCAAAGGACGGATGCGCCATAACTCTCTGAGAAGACAATGGCATCCGAGATTTAGATCGAGATGAGCGAAAGGAGGGCCGTGAGTGACGAGAATGTCAGTATCTTTCGGAGCAGTATCTGACCAAACATCTTGGCTCCGTGGATACTGAAACGCCCAATTTCCGTGGCGAGGCGATCGGGGACTTCCATATATCTTTAGGTTTCGGCCATTGCTGCAGGTGATAGTTGTAGTCTCATTCTGAAGATAGATACAATCTCCCCAAACTAGACATTCTCTTTCAGCTGCTGACTCTTCCCGACTATCACAGCCTTGATCGAGCAGTATGTCGTGGTTTCCTGCCACGATGATCTTGTGTGTGTGTGGTTGAGAGTTGAGCCAATCAATAGTGGCCTTTAGCTCTCCTGACGACCCTGACTGTGTAAGATCTCCGGCGTGAATGAGTACATCTCCAAAGGGTAGACAAGGTTGAGAATTGTGCGTGTCTGATATGCACACAACAGAGATGGGATTTGTGGGAGGCTCGTGGGTAATGTAACGAAGAGAGTATAAGAAATGTGCAAGAAAGGTATATGGCTTAGACCAGAATTGTTGCCATTTGTTGGGGCGTGGACGATTCAACAGCACGTCAAGGCCGGTTCTCTGTGTGCCGAAAAGCATGTTGTTGGTGAGTAATGGATGAAGCACAAAGAGAAACAGACATCTGAGAATACCTTGACTAAAATATATATACCTTATGTTGCAAAGTAGGTAGGTTTGTTGCGGCCGCTTACTTCAGGCATCAACCAGCAAAGCCATGAATGACACCTTTTACCCAGATCAGCATTGTCCGGCATATCTCCTGCCATCAAAAAGATCAGCTGTAAGGTCGTTATGATGCTGGGCATCAGAAGACACTATGAGGTCCCATTTCTTCATATCAAGCGCAAGGCCCATAGGTAGTTGGATACATACCACCATTTGACCTGCAAGCCGTTATCCTCTACTGCCAGGACCATTACCTGCTTACACCTGTGCATGCAAATTCACTTTCTGTTTCAGATAGAGAAGGTGGCCGTCGATCCGCCGACATTCTCATTGATGCCAAATGTCAATATCGATTGCGTTTTCTTGTTCCCATAAGTCTCCGATGCTCTTCTTCACTGTCCAGGCGTTACTATTCTGTTCGTCTATGTCTCCAAGACCCAACCATCTGCTTGTGTCTCGGATCTTCGTCAAGCAAAATTCTCGCTGCTGTCCCATTACATATACTGATCAGCTGTGTGAACTGTTATCTTTGGTCCGCCCTTTTCACTAAAGTTAGCATTACATGACGCGAGTGCACCTCTGATCATATTCTTACCCTTATTCGAAGCAGCCTCTCCAGCCTCGGCTCCTTGCTGAGGCCCGGAGGATCGCGAACCTGGATGTGAAAGGGGAGCTGATGGTGCTGAAGATGGCACAGTTGGCGGTATCGGGGGCACGGAGGGCGTCACTTGAGAAGACACCTCCTGAACCCAAGATTGCACACGATGTGAGGTGTCTGAGTGAGAGGTTCTCTTCCTAGACCTCCTGTGCTTGCGCGATGTCTTGTCGATATGGGTTTTCTTGGAATCAATCGGCCACGGGAGCCAAGAATCCCAGCACAGAAGGGCAAGGAAGTCAGTTGGGAGTCTCGGATTAGGCCTGGGACGATGATGGTGACGGTTCTTCTTTTTCGTAGCCCCCGACTCCATGCCGTATAGGTCTTCAGCAGCCCTGGTGCCCGTCTCCAGCCTACTGCTCTCATTAAGATGACTTCTGCTGTGGTGGCCCTTGGCATGACTGTTGCTATGCTGGCGGTTACTGTGATGGGTTTTGCAGTTGCTTGCCCCTCCTTTGGAGTCATCACCAGCCATTGATCCTTCATTCAGAAATCCAGTGTTGGTATATGACTATGGGCCTATCTGAAGGTAAGGCCGCAATTTATCGCATAGAAAACGAAGTTGTTTGCAAATCAGGGACCTGTATATAGACAGTTCACGTTGAGAGGTGATCAGTAGCTTTTATCACATTACTCACTTGATACAACAACTCGGTTTATCATACCAAACATTTCCAAGCCTGGTTTCTATTCGAGTGACTCTAAGAAATGGTGGTACAGATAGCAATGTACAACAAATATTCACACCGTTCACCCACTCATCGTCAATCAGCCCACCTTTTGTTCAACGACTTTCCCTTAGACTCCTCTCAATTGGGTGTTATCCCTCACGTCCATGGGCTTGTATCTGTCATTCAGCGCCTCTTCCACTGTCTTGTTCACCTTATCCTCAGGTTTGCTGAATCGTTGCTGAAGCGCCCTCTCCACGGGAGTCAGTGCTGAGAGAGTACCGTCCTCTTGAGCAATGTCGACATTCTCCTTATCCTTGCTGTGATCCAGAACAACACTGGCGAAATCCTTGCTCTCGGCCTTGGCCTTCTGGAAAGCGCTTTTGGCAGCTGCCGCTACCTTTCCACTAGCATCACCAAGCATAGCAGCCCCCTGCTTTACGATGGGCTTGGCCTGTTGCTCAGTCTCTGTAACCTTTCTTCCAGCCTCGCCGACAGCTTCCGAGGGGCTAACACCAAAGGCTCGGGCCCATAGCCGTGACGCAGTATCTTCGAGGCCTTCGCGCACTTGAACCCAGTCAGTGTGCTGCACCCATCGCACGGCGTTTTCAACTTCGGTGTTCCATCGATCCTTGGCAATCTCAACGGTTTGAGCCCTCTGAGCAGCGGCGACTTCAGAACGTGTGGGCGGAGGTAGTGGTGGAAGAGGGTCGATCAACCCTTGAATAGCGAGAGCTTGTGCGCGGAGGGCAGAGCCTTGTTGCTCGCGGGTGCGCTGGTGAGCAAGCACAGAGAGGTAGGCGAGGGAGAGGGTGAGAGTGACGCCGCCGGTCTAATAGTCGAAGTTAGCATGTAATATTATACAAGATTATTTCAGCGTGGCTCATCGAGTTGCGTACAAAACCAGTGGTGAAGCCCATGATGGAGAGCTTTGCCCGGTTGGCCGAAATGCGGTAATTTGCCGGGTTCGTGGTGTATCAGAGACGACCAATCCGAGAGTGAGGGTCGAATGAAGCTTAGATACAGCGTTTCATAGCGTGCGCGAGCCCAATTGCCCTCGTGACGCGTGCGATTTCCCCTTTGGAGAGCTGTTGAAGATGTTCTGTTGGTGGTGGGTTGACGTAGTGCAAAGGTTCTGTCGGCGGACAAGACAAGCCGGCTCCGAAAAAGGCCCAGCCAAAAATTTCCCTCCACCAAAAACTGACCACCAAGATACCGTCCGTATCTTGGACGGATTTAGAACTGCCCACGTGCAAAGCGAAGAACCATCGAACACACCCTTAATGATTCGAGCACTGCCCTTCAATTGACTTGATACAGTTCCCCAGTCAGTTGCCACTATAACCATCCGTCACAATGGCTGGTGGTACTGTCAAGTACCGACATCTGAGTCGCAATTCAGCAGCCCGTGTGGCCCTGCTGCGCGGTCTTGTTACTCAACTCGTCCAATTCGAACATATCCACACGACTTACGCCAAGGCAAAGGAAGCCCAGCGCATGGCAGAGAAGCTCATCACACTGGCGAAGAGGGACAACGAGCCCGCTCGGAGATCAGCACAGGGTATCCTATATGTATGTATACCACAATGGCTTATTCAGAAAAGCCATGCTAAACCCAAGGTTCTTCGCTAGACACCCACCACAACCCTACCTAAACTACTAGGCGAGCTGCGAAACCGATATTTGACCCGAGAGGGAGGCTATACTCGCGTCGTGCGCACCGAGTCCAAGAACACATATGATCAGGGCGAGAGTGCCATTCTCGAATTCGTTGACGGCCCAAAGGACTCCCGCTTCATGATGACTGCCAAGACAGTTGCCCGGGACCGAATGCTAGGGCAAGAGCATACTCCTGTCACCAGAACCAACATTAAGAAAGTCACACAGTTCCGCGGCGAAGTGCCGTTTGAGGAGATGGTACGGAGGTTTATGGTTTTGAAGACCGGTGAGAAGACTGGACCATCACGAGATGAGAGTAGCTTGGCCGAAGTCGAGGCCGAGAAAGCGGCAGACAAGAATGCTGAGCAGGCAAAGGAAATGGCCGCTGGCATCGTACCGGAATCAGTGAGAAAGGCGGCGCAACAGAAGAACTCGCCATAGAAGCGACATGTATATCTATATTACGAAAGGGGCCAGGCTCTGTACAAAATCTGTATAAATTATCACATCATGACACGATTGTCTTGTTGCCTAACCACGGTGGTTCGAAAAGGCGGACTTGATACGCTGTCCTAGCTCTAATAACTTTTCCAACATGCAAACATGCTCCCTGATACAAGATGTATTTAAATGAACTCAAAGGTATCGCCGCGATCCTGAATCATCTTACCAACTCTCTTGGAACCCACGATCCGTTCCAACTTCATCACATCGTATTTTGAAAACACAACCTTGACAGTCCCCTGACCAGGTTCAAGTCTGAGGTCCTGCTCACTCTTGCTAAGATACCCACCCGCAATTTCAGTGTAGAAGATGGGGTTGTCAGGCAATCCGTAGAATATGACTCGCTGCACACCGCGGAACTGATACCGTCGGAAATGATGCGCTCGCTCAGTGTAGAGCAGAACGCGATGGCGGCCGCTGAGGAAATGTGACCGCGCCCGCGAGGCTTCTGGTACATCTGCATATTCGGAGATGGCCCCAAAAGTGACATTCTCGACCGCACTTGACGTTGCAAAGTAGTTTCTCACTCGGACAAAGTCCAGATAGGAGGGGATAAAAATGAGTGTTCCAGTAGCATCCTTTGCCCGCTTGGCAAGTGAGGGGACAATGGCAGAAGTGAAATACTCGAATCGCGCATCAGGATCCTTATCGACCGAGCTAGATTGAAATCTTGAGAAGGTTTGCTTCGCCTTGATACCGAGTTGCGACAACATGCCCGGGTACTCGGGCTGCAGCCGGACTTTTCCAGCCCAGTTGTGACAGTGTAATCGGAGAAGCTCGGACAGCTCGGGGGTGTTGAAAGCAGACAGGATGATAGTCTGTCTGAAATACTTTGCCCAGTCTTCCAAATACCAGTTTCTGACACGGCTAAAATCACAACCGTGTGCATCCTTGGGCTGGAGGTTCATGTGTTCAAAGATGAATTCGACGTGCTCCCAATTTTGCATGAGAAGTGCATCCGCTTGATCAACAATGACCATCTCAATAGAGCTCAGGAAGTCAAAGTCAAGCTTCTTATCTTCCTCAGAGCCGATAGCCATACGAAGGCCGAGAGGACTGGCGAAGAGTATGTCTGAGTTGTAGAATTGCGCAAAGTATTTGATTGTCTTGCGAGTGAACTTCATGCCCAGACGGAACATGTCATCATCGCTTCCCTCAAAAAGATCCTTGAAGTCAGCCGGTCTATCGGCGCCAAACTTAGCCTCTTTGTCAACATAGCCATCGTCAAATCGCTTGCGGTTCTCTTGCTGATCTGGCTCACAGATATCACGGATCATGTTCACCATCCGAAGAGCTGAGTTACGTGTTGGCAAGAGGAAGAGCACCTTGGGACGGGTGAAGCCTTGATCTCGTAATTCTAGATCGGCGTCTTGGCCCTCCTTGGCCAATTTATAGTTATTCTTGATAACACGGTCTCGTGTTCTTCCTTGATTAGCAACGAGGGCTTATATGAAATGTAAAAATGATCGACTCACTTGAAGACATGGTTGAGAGCATGTAGACATGCCAATTCTCGTAATGAGTCTGAGTTCCGTACTGTGCGATCGCAAAACAGTACATCGTTATAATCGAAGAGCAAAGGGCCCAAGTTGCGCTGGAGGGCATCGAAGTCTCCAATCTTGCGAGAGGAAGTCTCTCTAAGCTTCTGCTTGAGTTGTAGGCCTTCCAAGCCAGCAATAGGTTTTGGTATTTCAGACCCTGTATCGGACCCTGGGTGCAAAATAGTTGCTCTCATATTTTGTAGTAATGCTCGTTTCGTTGCCCAATCGTTCTTTTGTACGGACTTGACTCTCTGTGAGATAGTATCGTCATTGGGGCGCGCAAAATGTACGTCGAAGGGATCTGTTGGGTTTTCTTCGTCTTCCGAATCTTCTTCATCATCCAATTTCTCCTCGACTTCTTCTTCGGCCTCGTCCTCCGCGCGATCGATATCTTTTTCAGTGTCTTCATCTTGGCCATCTGCGTGTGATTCTTCCCCAGAGGGGTCTTCTTCAGGTTGAGATTGAGTAGAATTCTTGTGGTTCAATTTTCGTCGTTTCGCATCTGGTGCACTGCTCTCGTTATTGAAACTCTGAAGAAGGGCCATGTATGGCTTTGACGATGTTGTATGTTCATCGTCGTCGTCCTCTGATTCAATGTCCTCCATGTCTGTATCTTCAGGCGCAGATTCTGACTCTGACCCCGAGCTTTCCGACCTACCGTCTGTCAGTAAATTTCCCAGTCATCGACCATATGTATACCCATACTCATCATTGTCTGCAAGTCGAGTTCCATCGAATCTTCGATTAGGTCCAAATCGGCTTGTCGCTTTACCTCCTCGGCCACCTCTTCCTCTGCCACGACCACCACGGCCTCTAAAGTTTCCACCTCTTCCGCGCGGCGGCATTGTCCTTTTTGCCAGGAGGTTTGAATTTGTTGAAACGTTATAGAATGTGAAGAGTTCGGTTTAGTTGCGCCAAAGAGCCTGTCGACATCAAACAAAAATTGTAAAAAAAAGTTATGAGGCTACCTTCAGCCTTGCATTCTCAAGCCACGGCTTGGTGGGGCTCTCCAGCGCAAGCGCCACGGACAGTCTTATCGCATATCTTAGCGCGCACAACCCCAGCGGCGTCCCGCCAAACCTGCAATTCTTCAAAATCGGCGAAATTTGTTATAGGACAGGTTCGCGAGAGTGACCAAAGACGACCCGGCCCGGCTCACCCATTTCTCCGCAGACATCTACACTCCTCTCCCAATAGCTTCAGCTTCAAAGTTGCCCACTATGGCCGCTGCTGCTTCCGAGAGCTTTATTCACCTGGCGAGGCCTCTGGCGCCCAATACCGTGGGCATCCAGACTAACCTTGCCCCGCTCACTGTCAACATCCAGCCTCAGGTACGATTGCGATGACCCCTCTCCGCTCGACTCTTTGTGTTCTATCCTGAGATCAAAAAAAAAAAAAAAACACCTTGGCTAACATGATCTGTTCTCTGCTCAACAGGCCGTCCTCTCTATCCTTGATCACGCCGTTCGACGAGACATCCGAGATACGCAATCTACCAGAGTTATTGGCGCCCTCGTCGGCACCCGATCTGAAGATGGCACTGAGGTCGAGGTTCGCTCGTGCTTCGCTATCCCCCATACTGAGGAGGAGGACCAGGTCGAGGTCGATGTCGAATACCAGAAGAACATGCTCGCCTTGACCCTGAAGGCCAACAGGGGCGAGTCCCTCCTCGGCTGGTACACCACCTCTCATGAGCTCAACAGCTTCAGCGCCCTCATCCAGAACTTCTTCGGTAGCCCTGACACCGGCACATTCCCCCACCCCGCCATTCACATGACCATTTCTACCGAGCCTGGCGAGGACATACAATCTCGATGCTATATCAGCGCTCCCGTTGCTGTGAACGCTGAGCGTGCTGCCGACAGTTGCCTTTTTATTCAGGTCCCCCACAAGATTCTCTACGGCGATGCCGACCGAAGTGCTCTCGAGGCTATCGCCAGCGCAAAGGACGCTGAGTCCCGAACAGCACCCCTCGTCTCTGACATTGAGGGTCTAGGTCGATCAATCGAGCAGACCATCAGCCTTCTCGATAGAGCGAGTGAGTGGATTAACGGAGTTCTGGATGAGGACGAGGAACCCAACAACACTGTCGGCCAATACCTTCTCAACGCTCTGTCTCTCGCCCCCAAGGTCGATCCTTCGCAGATCGAGCATGATTTCAACAACCACATTCAAGACGTTCTCATGGTCAGCTACCTGGCCAACACTATCCGCACTCAGATCGACCTGTCCCAGCGGTTGGCTGTTGCCAACCTGACCAGCAACGAGAAGGAGGGCGAGGGCAAATCGGAGGACAAAGGTGGCCGACAGGGAGGCAAACGAGGGGGCCGCGGTGGCGGTCGAGGTGGCGGCCAGCAGCGTGAACCCCGAGAGCCAAGGGAACCTCGTGAGCCTGCTGAGTAAAGAGATTTCGTGAAAAGCAGAAATGGGAACTAGATACCGGAGTCCAGGTTAGAGCAAGGCGATGTCCCGAAGACAAGGAAAGTCTAGGATATCTCCCCCTGGCATGCATGGATGTGAGATGAAGCATGGGTCAATTGTTTCAATAAAATCATGGCGTTGTGGTAGGCATGAAAATTCTGGCATTCCTGGCCATAGAATCGAATTCAATCGTCATATAAAACTATCTTCTTCTCCCCCAGGCCCTGGTTTGATCTTCATCGCCAAGAAGAATTATATCAAAGTGGTATTGAACTCGTCTAGTAAATTGGCCCTTGGCCTACAAATTCATGCCGTCCATCCTGTCCACCGATAACGCCAAGATGCTGAATATACCGTGTACGCCTTGTGGTTCTCCCAATTTGTGAACACCATGTCATGCTCCCCCCCCCTTTTTCTTTTACAATGACAATGCTTAAATTCCAGTAGCTGGTTTCTGGGGTAGAGTGGCGGGGTTGCCATATGTTGGCAAATGCGAGAAGGGCTGGCTAGGTACTTGTGGGATGTTAGGTCGATGGGGGATATTATAATGAGGGGGGAGAGGCTGGGGAGCCATGTGCGGGGGGTTCTGCGGCATCACAGGCGGCGGCGGCGGTGCGTGTTGGATATGAGCAACGCGGGGAGAAGAATACGCAGGCATCGAGTTGCTAGACCCCTGCCTTACCATACCGTATCCGCCCCCATAAGGCTGAGACATTGGCTGTTGATAACCGCCAGGATAGGCTAGATGAGGTGATCCGACTTGAGGACTGCCATGATGCGATCCGGGAGCAGTGAATGGCGGCTGTGGAGGCTGGACAGGAGCCATGCCACCCCCACCACCAGGCACAAACGATTGTGTCTTCGGGTTGAAGGCGTGGTTGCGATTATAACTACCGGGAATTGGATGCTGGCTCTTAGGATCATGGGGGTTGATATTTGCTGGGAGCTGTCCATATGCATAAGGAATTCCCATATGCCCTTGAGGACCGGTGGGGGTTCCCCCCCTCGCCTGGAATTGAGTAGGAGGAGCAAGGCCTGGTTGCCAAGCAGGTTGCTGCGGGCCAACCGGAGGAACAGGTGCACCATAGTTAGTCATAGGGCTCCCACCAGAAGGATAGCGCTGTTGGGCGGCTTGAGGAGCATACTAGTGAGATAGATCAGTCGCTATTCTGCTCATGTTATTTTCACATGGAACTTACCGGAGGGGCTGAGTACTGAGGATATGCCTGGTTTGATGGCATAGCTGGCATCGTAGGGTATCCGGGACCCTGATGTGTGTAGACAGGTGCGACTTGACCTGGGTATGCTGGTCCTGGTGGTGCTTGGGCGCCGTATTGAGTATTGGGCGGCGGCATATACTGCGGTTGGGATATCCAAGTCTGTTGCTGAGGTCCCCAATAGGGTGTGTACTGATGTCGTGAATCGAAGCTGTCCGAATCATCACGTCGTTGTTTGCCAGTTTTACCTCGTTTTCCGACATTGGACTTGTCCTTAGCTGACACTGAACTGGCTCTTGAAACGCCGTTGTCGCCCTCTTCTATTATTTCTGTCAAAAAGTGGTCCTTGCTGACATTGTTTCGTTACCTACCTGTGACACTGTCTTCCGAGCTACCGAAAATGCGCTCACGTACTAGTTTATACTGCTCTTCTCGCTCTTCCCTAGTAAGTCTAAAGCTGGTGAGCTCGAGTGACTGTTAACACATCATGGAATTGTACGTACTTCTGGTTCGCCGATGGCTTATCTTTGGCATCACTGCCGGTCTCGGAAGTTGGCTTAGAGGGGCTAGCACTTGGGCCACCTTCACCATCTTGGCCGCGTCGCATGATCTTCTTGGGTAGAACAATAGGAGGCGGGGTGCTGCTATTTGGCACACTGGGACTGGGGTTGATGAGTGCCAATGAGGTGGGAACCCGACAAAATGGAGTCCTGAATATTCGTACAGACCCCACGTGAGGCTCAAATGAATGTGTCATATGGTAGTAATCCGCCAGCTTATGTGTTAGCATTCTGCAGAACGAGTTGGATGGTGGAAGGTCCATGTAGGGTTCTCTAAGAAAAAAAGATCATTAGTACAAAATGAAAGAATTTGTGGTCATGGACGTACTTGGAATCCTGCACAAAATCAATGACCTGTTTCTCCAGCCGCAGTAGAAAGAGTCTGTCCTTGGGCGATGCCATGGCTTCTAGAAGTTTATCATCCGGTGCCTGTCGATAGATAACACCAAGGGCATCTGAGGAGCCAGGAGTGCCCATGGGTGCACCGGGGGGTTGTTCAGATGATGAGCTCTGGGGAGTCAGGACTCCTTGAGCCGCGGTGCCTGGAAATGGTTGTGGTATCCTTCGCTCCGGAATATCGCCAAGGTGAAGCATTCGAGCTCGTGCGGCAACCTCTGAGCCCATGCGAGATCCAGCAACTAATGAACCGCGTACAGAGAAAGCATCGTCATCTTCTGCAGCGGCCTTGACACTGGCGCTATCATCAGGTCTTAGCGATTCCTTCTCATCGAGTGCAAATGTTGTGCCTGAAGTGATGCTCTTTCCATCCAGACTAGGAGGCTTAGTTCCGAGTTCGGAACTCGAATCAGCTCGCTGAGAATCGTCGGATCCGCTGTCTCTACCGACGACGACTGCAGGCCTCTCAGGAGCCAAAGGTCCACTACCGTTCACAACAAGATTAGGGGCTTTTTCCCTGAGGCTCAAGTCCTTTAAAGATATCTCAAGCTTGTCTTCACCGCTTCTGTGGTCGGCCAGATTGAGATTTAATTCCCGTTGCGGCGAGGGCAACGTTGAGACTGGTGCCTTGCCAGATCGGCCGTTTGCTATTACGGGCGCGGTGGATGTGGATGGTATCGTCGTCGAGCTCATGGTTCCTTCTTTAGATGGTGTGGCGATCCTTCGAATCGCTGGAGGTGCGGAGTCCTTGGAGACGGAGGCGGCGACCTGTTAAGGAGTATGAATTAGTACCGGGCAAGGAAAAAGAATGGCTCCTTTGACAGATAAGGACCACTGAAAGAGGAGCCAAGCACGGTGTGGTATTTACCTTGGCAAACGAGGGTTTGTGAAGATCAGAAGACATTTGGGCAGTAGCCATGATGGGCTGTGGTCAAGGTTACGAGCCGATCCAGTAGTGCAGGTGGTAGAAATGTTGATAAGAATATGAAACAGAAGACTGTGAGCAATGGTTGACCAGGTACGAGATGAGGCTGCGGCTGAGACTGCAGCGGTGATGACAGGAACAGAAAGGACAGTATCAGGAAAATCAGGAAGCGAATTCAATGGAAGCGGACCGGCAGAAAGAAAACAAAGTCTTGGTGCTCATCGTCGTAAAGTAAGATGCATTGTTCCCCAACTGATTCTGTTCGGAGGAAGAGGTGATGGTCGTCGTACGCCTTCTTGGCTGCCCAACCTGTGATACTGCAGTGCGGCCTCTTTCTTTTCAATGAGACAGGACCAGAAATCGGGGGATGGAGGTCAATAGGAAAGTCAAGCAATACCCTTACAACGCCCAGGTTCCGAAGAAGGCGTGAGGGCGGGAAAGTGAAAGACGACTGAAAATTGACGACAGCCAATTCTTGAGAAAGGCGGCCCAAGGCGCACAAGGCAGCAAAGTCGAGCAATGCGATGTGATGTGATGCTGGTGTGCTGGATTGGATGTAGTTGGTCAGTTGAAGTTTTGGAGAGGGAGCCGTGGGAGGAGGTTGTCACAAGGACGGGTCTCAATTGTCAGTCTGGCCGCCTGCCCTGGGCTGCCACTTCACTGTGGAGCGAGCGGCATGGCAGGCACAGCGAGAGGATACGCTGGGAGACGCTGGAAGAATCACTAAAGATCGTATGTGTCCCGCCTGACATGAAAGGGGGTGGACCAGTCACAGGTCAGTGCCGCTTTTTAATAGTGGAGGTTGTTCCAGAAATTCCGGGCGGGAACCTGTGGACGGCATTCAATGTGACAGACAAGTAATGGACATCAATACCTAAGGTACCCTTTCATTGATCTTTAGAGCGCCTAAGTTACATAGTAGAAATTTGAAACTTTTACCTTACCTGATCTCTCTGGTGAACTACGAATCTTCCAAGAGTGATCTATCCCTATCCGTAAGCCTAGGTACGTGGTATCCAAGTCAGCACTGCTATTCTTACTCAAGCTTTGATCACGCCTCCCACTTCAGTGTAGGAACATGTGTCACGTGACTCAAAGATACCACCAAGAGTCGTCCAAGCAATCGCGACTCAATAATTGCATCAGTTCTATTGCCGTTCGTAATACCTACGAAGGCGCCATATTTTTGACACATTTGTACACGATTAGTAGTTTGAGAATTTCTTCGCTACACAGAGATCATTCCGATTTCCAGATGTTCACCTACAGAGGCCGTGGTGGCCCATCCCGGTCGACACCTTCTAGCGTCCAGTGCCAGAAATGCTTGAAGAGAGATATGTTTTGACCTCGATGTGATTCTGCAATCATGCTGACCATCCCAGAACGCCACTACTCATATGAGTGTAAAGCCACTGCTCAAGAGCGTCCCTACGTGTCGCGTCCATCGCGATCTCAGCAATTCCGAAATCCCAAACTGGTGCCCAAGCTCACAAATGAGACATTGAACCCTCTTGAGCAAAAGTTAGTTAAAAGTAGCAAAGGTCTATTTACTTACTAACAGCCTTACAGGAAAGGTGTGGCGGATGAAGAGCTGGCTAAATTAGAAGCCCAGCGCGCCCGCGAGCGCGAGCGAGAACAGAGAGACGATGGGCTGATGGAGTCAGCCGTAAAACGTCATGGATCAGTGTCTTCTCATTCAGTTTCTACCATCTCCACTGGCGCTTCGCGGTCACCATCACCTGGTAAAGACAGGGCCAGATCCCCTGCCCAGCCGCCACGAAGTCGAAGCCCCTATTCAGACGATTCACAGCGTGGCAGGCGAGATGATAGTCGCAGTCGCAGTCGCAGCCACAGTCCTAGCCTGGATTGTAGCCGAAGCCCTCGTGTGGAAGCTCGACACAGGCGTTCCGATTCTGGTCGCAGTCCATCTCCTGGAAATTTTGACCGTCGCGACCAGTACAGGTCCCGGGACTCTTTACCTTCTGTCAAGGAGAGTGCGCCAGCGAGGCATCCCAGGGAATATTCATCGAAGTCTCGGAGTCCACATAGCCTTCGTCGTCGACGTTCTGAGAGCCCAAGGTCGCCCCCACCGAGAGGCAAACGTGATGAGAGGCCAGGTCGATACAGGACTAGGCATGACGGTGAGAGACTGCCACCTCGTGGAGAGTTTGATGACAGAAACCATGGAGAAGGAGGCTCGGGTCCTGGGAACCAAGCACGAGAACGAAGCTTGAGTCCTTTCAGTCAACGATTAGCTATGACGCAAGCTATGAATGGTGGAAGATAATGAATTGTTGGGTATAAATGTAGATATAGTGTAACCGTCATCGCACAATGCGCCAGACCCCTAAGATGTAATTAAAAGGGCGGCGAGGCAGAACCTCGACGTCTAAAGGCTAGATGTTGCTTTTTCATACACCTAGCGCAGCATCTTCTTCCCTTTCGCGACGCTCTTCCTCCTCCTCCTCCTTCTCCCTGACCCTCAAGCCTTCTACCAATGCCACACCATCCATGCCAGTTGCTTCTCCAGTGCCTTGAGCGTCCACGACCGCGTCTCTCTTTGTGGCAGCCTTTTGTGCGCCCATGATGCGATCGCGGACTAAGCGCGCAATGGCGTTGTCGGTTCGAACGTTGAGAACCTCCATTTTCCTATCAAGTTCCCTTTTCAAGTCCCAGTTTGGCTTCTTCGGCTGTAGCTTGAATAAATCTACACCTTGGTCGTCTTGGGCTTCTTCTGCCGCCTTTTGCCTGATCTCTGCTTCCACTTCGGCAGCTTGTTCTTCGAGCGTTGGCTTGTCAAGGTTGAGGGTTGGATCCTGCTCAAAGCCAAGCTTGGGGCCTCTGGTTTCAGGGTCGTAGTTGCGGCCAGAGACATGGAGTCGTGAGACATCTGGCTCTACGGGAGGGGATTGGGCTCTTGACGATTCTGGTGCAACAATTTCATCTCCAGGTTGCTTGCGCTTGAGGTTCTTAAGCTTCGCGAGTCTGGCTTTTCGGTCGTCTGTGGCAGCGCTGAGGCTGGCGTGTGATGAAGACATAGTATTAGATGGTCATGAAACGGTATACGGGAGTGTGAAACCGGAGTGAAGCTGGAATATTCTTTATGTTACGGAGAGTTGAGGTTGGCGGGATGGACATTTCTCAAGCGCGTCTATCCATCGCTCTACACCCTCAGAGCCGCTGCGGCTCAAATCAAGCGCCCTGGCCACTCACTGGAAAGAGTTCTGCATGGGTTGCCATTGAATAAGCCCCTCCACTAATAAACATTGGATCCCTGCATTAAGCGCAGAAGAGAGCTAAAATTATAGAGGCGCATTGAGCGACTTCGGCATAAATCTGAAAAATTTCGCAATTAAGAGCAATTAGCGACCTCGAAATTCAGCTCTTACCAGCGACTACGGCGAATTCGCTACTCGTCTAGTGATCACTATGCAGACGATTGGCCTCAAGTTGATGCCGACTCGGAGGATATGCCAACGGCCCTTATACTCCGCGCCTGTGCAAGGCTTGAGCTTCCTATAAGGCCCCAAGCATGGACTCGAGGAGCTGTTTTTCTCGCATTACGATACAACACTACGAGAATTTGTCCAAGATTGATTCGTTCCTACCATCTCGATACGAAGATACCCGTCCCGGAAGTCGGTTCTCAAATATTATCGCAATTGCGTCCTCGTAATGCAACCTCGAACCCTCCCAAAACGCAGACATACACTCCCCCCTCAGTACAAGATCGCAAACAGCTCCAGGAAAGGGGCAGGGCGTCTAATCATAGACATAGACTCTCATTAAGAAAGGGACGCTTGCGCAGCGAACACTCCGATCAACAAAGGCGTCGGGAAATCCCGGAATTTACTCGAAGAACTGCCGATGAGAAACGCAGGGCCATAGAGAGGAAGAGGAAGAGGAGGCAGGAAATATATCAACAATGGGGTTATTTGCGTCACCAATACTCTGGAGATGAGTTGGTTGCCATAAGACAGCAGTTCAACATCTGGAAGCGAAGAATCGAACTGCTTGAGATCCCTGCAAAGCCCAGATCATGGTCATGGCTCGACCACGGGAAATTCTTGTACGAACTGGAGAGTACTTCAGATATGAGAAAGGCCTGGGATGAATTGGACATCGAATCTCGGAAGAAAATATGGCCCACTGCAATGCTATCGACTCTGCATTCATGTCCAGGAAAGGCCGCCCAAGTCCTTGAGTCTACGTTGGATCCCCTACCTCAAGGTTATGCAATTCTCGACGTTGCCCACTTCTGCATCTCGAATCTCAGATTGAACAACATCAAGATTATGCGAGATCGTGTTACGAAGGCCGATGAGGTACTCGAGCTTTTCGCAAAGCTCATTGAGGATCTCCCCCCTGGCCACGTTCCAATCCGTCAGTCTACCCTGGGACGTCTCGGGAAAAAACTGCCCCTTGAGCAAGCGGTTGAGATGCTCCAGATTTTGCAAAAGTCAGGCATCAAATTACATCGAAATACACTTTTGCACTTTGCGAGGAACCTTGCGGGTAGCAGTGCACACAAATCCAAGGCATTTGAACTTCTCCGCGAGATCGCAGATAAGGGCCACGATCTAAACTCGGCTGGGTTCGCGAGCGTTGTCACGACTTTGCTACTTTCTAGGCAAGCGAAAAATGGATGGTCCACACCTGATGAAAGCTTTCCGCCTCAGCGGGCCCTTGAGTATTTTCTCGAGCGCGGCTTCTCACCTAACTTGATTAACTTCACGTCTCTGATTGAATCCCTCTGTTTACAGGGGGACATTGCAGAAGCAGTTCGGCTTCCGTTGCTGCTCGCAGAGAACGGTGTGGAGCTGGACCAACGGTGCTATACCACTGTTTTCAGAGGCGCAAAGGCCAGCCTGAAAGCATCCAACGTACAGCTCGCACTCGACGTCGCGCGAGCGGCTAAAGTACCATACGTTGATGTGCTAAACAATACACTCCATTCTATCTTCTACTTTGCAGAGATGGAGAGCCGTGAGAAGCAGTATCCATCGCCATGGACCGTTCCCATCTTTGGGTCCATGCTTCGCATCTATGCCAAGAAATTCGACCTGGAGCCTCTGCAATGGCTGCTGCCCGACACTCTGCCCCTGATTCTCAGCCAGGAAGATGTGGACGGCATTGAGAAATTCAGGTCTGGCCCTAGAAGAGAGTGGGGGTTTAGGACGACCATAGTTCCTGTTGTAAATGAGTTCTTTGAGCGCGAGGCGCCCCGACAGAAGCCCAACGCAGAGACTTTAGCCATCATGCTACGTGCATACATCAAGACCCTCTACCGACCTTACGACCTAATGTCGTTTTACAGCTTCTTCAAATCCCGCCTAGAGGAGCACGGGACTGAAAAGAATTGGGGTCGAGAGCTTGTGGAAAACCAAGGGAGCGTGGTCCATGACACTTTGATCCAGGTCATGCTCGGGCAAAAGTCTCTACTACGCCCCGCGTTACAGGTTTTCGGTGACATGCTTCGTGGCACGTTAACTTCCAAGACCAAGGAAGAGGGCACTGGAGTAACGTCGCCTCCTGACGGCATACAGACTCACCCAGCGCCAAGCCTATTCACATTCACTATCCTCTTGCATGGTCTTTTGATGCGAAAAGAGAAAATGCTAGGGGAGCAAATGCTCCAGGTCATGCGGGAGCACAATCTGGAACCCAACGACGTAACTTGGAACACCCTCGTCAAGGGCTATGCGTCAATGCAGAATCTGTCACAGACGGTGGGCACGCTACAGGACCTTGAGGCGGCTGGGTACAAGCCTGACGCATATACCTTCAAGGCATTTTCGAGACTGAAGGATCAGACTCGGGCACTTGAAACGATGGAAAAGATTATTGACGAGAACAAGAAGAGGCTGGAGCAAACACACTCTCAATGATTTGATAACATGATAGCATAGCAAAGTTGGGGTGGTGCGGATTGACGATTACAATATGTATTACTATTTGGCATACTATGTGACCTTTCAATACTATTTCGGGACATTTGGTTGTACGAGTGGACAAGGGAGGATTCGGTGTTTAAAAGGTGAATGGGCATTTGTTTTTGGAAGTCGCATATTTACGGTTGAATCTTTGGAAATAGGAAAATCGTATTTGTATTATAATATGTTTTGGCATAGATTTTTAGACACTACCTACTTACCTACTTAGATCTTGCTTGTTAGGCTACGACATTATCTCATATGCCACGCATTCTACTGTGTTCGAGTCTGGTAGCTTGAGTATTTATTTACCAAAACGCAACTTGGTGTCTTCTTTTCTTGCTTTACTCACTCTTTTTTGTCTCATATAGCATCTTCTATCACAACACTCACTACAGTTGGGTCTGGGCTCTGTGTGGCGTAAAGGATTGAAATAGTTGTTGTAGTGGATGCTATCCCCGCTCGATTCAAGCATCCAATCTAATCTCTAGTCAACCTACATTCTATTGCGACAAGACAAGACCAGAACCACTATAAGACAGCCTCGTTCGGTGAGCCTCACTCGAGCGTTGTTGTGGAAGCATTGTTTTCCTCAGCCCATGTCAACTTCAACTCATCAATCAAGCTCCTTTACATCACTATCTGGACTCTTGGCTAAACTCATCATTGGAACTGTTTCTACCTATCTTGGCGAAAGATACATCAGGGTTTACTAGCTGGGCATATCTTCAAACATGCCTGACTCCAACATGAAGCATCTCACCGGTGTTTTCCGAGCAACAGACAACCACAAAGTCACGCGCAATCGGAAGCCTGTCTCATGTATGGCGTGTCAGAAACGCAAGTCGAAATGTGACCGTGGGAAGCCCTCTTGCGGTGCCTGCCACAAGCGTGGCGATCCAAGATTGTGTGTATATGGAGATGCAAATGGATTCGCAGACAAGGAAGAGATGCAACTCAGAATGGCTCAACTTGAAGAGATCGTGATGCGTCTGGCCAAGGCTTCAGAAGCTTCAAACGTCCATCCCAGCATTGCAGTGGCGGAGGATACGAACTTGCCCTCTCCGCAGGTAGTTGAAGAGGGGTCTGACGCTACATACCACGGAGAAACATCTTGGGAGGCCGTGTTCAAGAGCATTCATGATATTCAGAGTGTTCTCAGTACGCAAGACGAGCCCGATCATAACGGCGAGCCTGACACTTTACCCCCTGCGCCAGATATTGCAATGGGAGGAATCTCCCCAATCTCCATGAGCGAGATTCTCAACAGCGTCCCATCTCGTCAAGAAGCCGACATTCTTGCCAAATCATACTTCCAGGCCAAGTTCCTCGCAGTACCCTTCATTCATGAGCGTCATTTTTGGCGGCGTTATGAACTTTTCTGGGCTTGCCCTCACAATTCCAACTTCTTATGGCTGAGTATAATGTTCTCAGTTCTCAGTCTAGGTACAATGGTGTGCAAAATCCAGCAACCCCATCTCGCGCCGCTTCAAGGGCCAGATTTCTACATACAACGCTCTGCTCAATGTCTGATTACGGGAGAGTATCTCAAAGCTAGACCATATTCCGTCGAGGCACTCACACTGTATGCTCATACGGTCAACGCCCAGAGAAAGGACTCTGAGGCTACCATATGGTCCCTCTATTCACTCGCCGTTCGGCTTGCTCAGCGAAGAGGCTATCACCTCGATGCGGCGAGAGTCTCGCCAAAAATCAAACCCTTTGAGGCTGAGATGAGAAGGCGAACATGGTTTACTGTACAGACTTCAGATCTACTTTTCTCCTTCCAGCTCGGTATGCCCCCTATGGTGTATCAAGAAGTCTGCGACGCCGGGCATCCTCGAAATTTATCAGATGATGACTTTGACGAGGATTCGGAAGTACCCGAGTCTCGCCCCCCAACATATCCCACTCCTATGTTAGCATGGCAGACAAAGTCTCATCTCTGCCGTTTACTACGCCGTGTTCTCCGCCATGTTCTTCGAGTCGAGTCTCCGTCTTACGAGGAAACTGTGGCTCTCCAAGCTGAGTTGGAAGTATACCACAACAGTGTCCCTGAATGTCTGCGCGTTCGCCCCATCGCCACCACTCCATTTGATATTCCGGCATATACCATCATGCACAGATTAATCATAGAAGTGTCATATCTCAAGACAATCTGTATCCTCCACCGGCCTTACCTTACTGCCGAGAAGAACCAGGAAATGTACAGAGCCTCTCGTGAACTCTGTCGAACTGCCGCTCTTCGGATTATCGAGATTCATCTCGAGTTTGAGCATGAGATTCAAGAAGGGGGCCGCATGTATGAAGACCGCTTCTTGCTCTCGAGCCTGACTCTGCACGATTTTCTTGTCGCGTCTATGATATTATGTTTGGACCTTCACGAGTCAACCGACATAACGTACGTATAATATTCCTCCTACCATCTCTGAGCATGCCTACTAATTCAAGCTGTAGGCCACAAAACCGAAGACAACGCACGCAGATACTAGAACACACCTGCCAGACATGGGAAACTCGAGCGAGTCACTCCAAAGACGCAAGACACGGCGCAAAGGTCATCAGAGCGATTCTAAATCACACAACGACACCAAGTGGAACATCTAAAGTGAAGACTATGGGTATGATGAACACAGCAAATTCCCACAGAGAGTCCACTTCAAGCAGTGATATCCAAGACTTTACGATGGCATATTTTGACTACCCTACTAATTGTGAAGAATTCTTCCCATTGAACAGTTTCTTCGGCCCCAACGATGGCTTCGAATGGGTTAGTTCCAGCTCGACCCTACGCCCTTTGACTCCAGTGCTCACTAACAACAATGAGTTTTCCATTGGTCAATCCTGAGGCTGCATATACGGTCGCATACAGAAACGAACATCGATGAATTACTATGGCAACCAGCCAAGCACAAGAGCTGGGCCAATACGCGAAACTGTTGTCATCGCGAATGGCCCAGGAACAGGTCGCATATGGCAGCCATTGTTGAACGAAGGATTCATTGCAACATCATGAGAGCTCACATTAGTTAGTTAGTGCACTGATTGGGAGCACGAGGGACATCAAATAACCCGCAAGAGGCATTTAAAATTATAAAAGGCTTACATTCAATAACGTGGATGGATATCTTCCTGCAGGTCTCGGCCCGGCTTGTTTATCTCTCATAAGTCGTAGCACATGCAACACGAACCGGAAAAAGAAAAATACAAACACAACCATCCCAATTCATCAACACGTCCGTCGCTCCGTCCCGTCACATGAGGTTTTCTACCTCCCCATAGCGGCCCGTATTTCCGCATATTAAAACTCATGGCGCCTCCATTCAATATTTGCTTTTCCCACCGCAATCGGCTCCCACTCCAATAGCAAATCCTCCCAATGTAGTCAAAAAAGACAGAGAGAGAAAAGAAAAATCGATCATAAATGCAATGCTGAGGCTTTTGTAACGATTCGCTCCACCTGTATAACGTTGACTGTGCTGTAACCTTATGGCCGGGTGGCCTTCAACAGTATCAACTTTACACCTGCGAATACACTGGGTATCGTGTCTGAAGGTGAAAAAGGAAGGAAAGAAGACAGGCAACGCCAAATATAAATATTAAGAAGCGATGCCACGCAGGACTCTCGCGGGGTTTCCAGCTACAATGGTGAAAGGAGGAACATCCTACTATGAGTTAGCTGTCGCCTTTTTTCTTATCGACCTGTCTTTGTAAGCTTACCTTGGTGACAATTGATCCAGCACCAACAGTGCTGCCCTTGCCGATGGTCCTCCCTGGAAGAATGATGGCACCTCCGCCAATCCAGCAGTCCTGCTCGATGGTGATAGGTTTGCCCACCTGAGGTCCTTGACCACCCTGGCGTTTCTTGGGGTCAATAGGGAGCCCTGCCGTGAAAATGCTGACATTTGGTCCAATAACACAGTTGTCGCCAATCTTGACCTCGCATACATCATTAATCGTGCAGTTGCGTCCAATGACAACGTGGTGGCCAATGGTGATGTTGTACCCGTAATCGCAAATGAAGGGCGTCTCAACAGCAACATGCCTGCCTACACGGCCGACATTGGTGACTGGGGAAGCTTCTGTGGGAGAAACTCGAACGGGATCACGAGGCTGCAGAATTTCGAGGAACAGGCGAGCACGCTCTTCGGGAGATACACCGTTAGTAGGGGGGGTGGTGAGGCTGTTGAACTTCCAGCAAGCCGTAGCGCAACGCTCACGCTCCAAGCAAAGCTCCTTGTCGAAAGGGTAGTAATGTCGCCCACACAACATCTCCTCTTTTTGAGTTCGTCTCTGAGGGAACTGTGAGTGCGATAAAGCCAACTGGGCAGCGACTTGGGCATTTGATGTCGGTGCCGGCGGGGGAGGAGCAGGACTGTTGGTTCTTGTCGGGTGAAGTATATTAATCTGTGGGAGCTGGTTCCCTAAATGGGCAGACTCCGGTTCCGTTCTGCTGAGATCGTGCAGCGGAGGCACACGCTGGTATTCCTTTGCCATCCTTTCTCCGAAGGGTGGCGGTGGTTGAGGATTTGCGCTGACTGGAGTTGGGAAAACGTTTGCAGGAGTATAAGGAAGAGCAGAGAGTTTGTTTTCGGGACTTGCCACAGACGCGCTGGGCAATGTTGATGCCGTTGGCCGGTCGTCGTCGGTCACCAAAGGGCGGCCTTGTGGGGGGTCTATGCGAAGAGCCTGGCCACGATAAGGTGGCAGGGATTCGCGCTTCACGGGTTGATTACCATAAGGGCTTTGCTGTGGCATCCCATAAGCCCCCGGGGGAATGTACGTTGGGTCCTTAGACTCAAGGGGAACTGCAGGAGCCTTGTTGTCCGGCTTCTGCCATCCTGGCCCGCGTTGAGGTGGATAACCTGCACATACAAAACTTCCGCGAAGGCAGTTTCCGCCTACCTTTCTGTCAGTTATGGATCAAATAACTTATATATAAATGACTTACACTCGGGCTTCTGCTCATCGCACTTCTTCTTGCGCTTCCGACAGGTCAGGCAACCCGTCTTGGTTCTGTTACTGAAGTTCCTCTTTCTCTTTTTTGGATCGTGTTGCAAGACCCCGTCACGCCTCTGCTCGGATCCGTATTGGCTACCATATATCATGGAATGGTCATCACCTTCTGGACTGGCATTTGAGTAGTCATTATGGTCCATCTGACCGGTAGCCCTGCGAAGCGCATCACCAATCTGCTCCTCTGTTTGACCATGAGGAGTGGTAGCCGAATTTTGCTGTGAATCGTAACTTCGCTCATCGCGTGCCTGATGAGAATACCAAGACTCCTTGTCCCGGTGCTCGTCGCCATAAGGACGATAATCTCTTGAGGGGGTTCCATAAGGCTCTCGCGACTCGTGGTGAGGGTGTGCGGATTCCGGTGTGTGAGCATGCACTGCATGCTCACGACGAATTTCAACAGAATCAGACCGCTTTCGCTTGTGAGACCCTTCAACATCAGGATAACCGGGTGATTGAAAGGGTGGTCGATCCGAACTTTGGCTAGGAATTTGATTTGATGAAACTTCTGGTGTAGGTGGAGGCTGAGATGTCGATGTGCTAAGTGCGCGCTCATCCATGGCTGGCTTCTCTATCGTCACAGTAGGCGGATCTGTAGTCCTGGGTGAGCCCCCATTAAGGGCGGTAAACGTTGACATTATAGACCGACTCGCCGATGGTGCACAGCACAAGGGAACAAGTGAGTCGTAGGGGACGCCAAGAGGCCACACAGCCAAGCCTAGAAGCCTGCAAACTCAGAGCGGTTTCCCCAGAACGTGGAGATGAGGCGCAATTGAAGTCACTCCGGACGTTCCGCAGGTGGCCTTGAAAGCCGCGAAGCTGGGGGCTGAAGTCGCTGAACAATATGTAACTGACTGAAGTGCCTGTTGATTAATGACGATGGTGTCGCTGAGATCGGGACAGCAGAAGCAGACTGGGTAGCGCAGTGGCCTTGGGGAAAGCAGCAGGCTCAGACGAATGGGCTCAGTCAAATATCCACCAACACAAGTAAATCGATTAACAGCCAGTCAGTCCTTGGGGTTACAATTCTATGATCCAAAATTGAGGCCGTACTTGGCGGAGAGTAAGGTAATTTGTGATTGGGATTGAATGCCGCTGAGATTGCAAGTTAAAGAAGGTGAATCTGGGTAAGGTGATTTGATCCAGTGGTTGTAGAGAGAAGGCGAGATGAGACAGTAGCCAGACTGATTTCTCTTTCTAATTTGGGCTTGAGGCCGAGATTGAACTTGGCAGGTATAACCAAAGTAAAAGAGCGTGAATCAACGGAGTTAAGTTAGTGGCCTGAAAGCCTTTTCGACATGCGCGCTCGCAGATAAAAGATAGCTAAGGTAGAAAGCTTTGTCGCTCCAAGAGTATCCGTAGCGAAAAGTCGGGTGGTTGAGGTTTGGAAATGACGAGAGTCACGGCGCTTGGGGCGTCGGTAGGTTTTTGACGCGCGATTAACACTTGAAGAGCGTCTGTAATCGGCGAAGAAGAAAAAAGAACCTGGCTGGGGGTGTTCGTGGCGGGGAGCTCAGATCAGTCAGGCCTGGGCTGGCCTGGCTGGACGGGAGAGGAGGGAGTGAGGGAGGGGGGTCCTTGGAATTAGGTGGAGGGGAGGGGAGGGGAGGGGAGGGGAGGAGAAGTGACGAAGTAAAAAAAAAAAAGACTGAACAATGAAGGGGGAAGAGGAAGAGGAAAAGGAAGAGAAGGATCGAGATTAGAATGAGATCCAAGATGAAGTGAGGGTGTGGGAACCTGGGCAGGATATGATAGAGAGGGAGAAGTGCAGGGTCTCTAGAGTACATAAGAGGAGCCAGCAACACGAGGGGACGAAAGCTAGAATAGAAGCCAGGCTCAAGTCGAAGTCATGTCAAGTCAAGTCAAGTCAAGCTAAAGAGAGACGGCGGCAATGACAGGGACATTAAACGGTGACTGACAGTCTTGGAAGCATAGCCAGACAAGCAAGGGACAAACAGATAGAGAGATTCACTTTAGATTCGAGTAACACCAGAAGCCCAGATTTGTTTCATCTCGTGTTAGCCACATCGATCAACTAGTTCATCACTAATGGGGTAGAGAAGAGGGTAACAGGTCGCCTCTGTTGAATTGAGGTTATGTGAATTGAAGTGCAGTGAGGTAACTTGGGAGAGCCTTGTGGAGTTTGAGACTCGAAACAGAACTTTCGCTGTAGTTAATAAGAAAAAGCACAACATCCCACCTCGAATCCTCACACATCACCCTCACTAATTAGGGGGTGGATGAATCAGGAGACCGGGGGCCAGGGGGACCCTTGGACGTGGAAATGGACCCATGAAGAAGAGTGGAGGAGACGTGGGAGGGCAAGCTAAAGTTACAGTAGCCGGGGCGCGCGGTTGGTAGTAGTAGGTAGTACGTACTGTAGTATCCGTAGTAGTGTGTATATATGCATTGGATTGTTAGCCTTTTGGTGCCGGTGCATTGTGGCCTCGTGCTGCTGGACCGCTGGTGATTGATGGACTTTGTTGATGGTGGTCGTATAGGCAGGATAGATTCCAACAGCCACTTGAACTAAAAACTATGTACAGTATCCTCCACCCACGGGCTCATCAGTTGGCTACCCTACCTAGTGTTTACCGAATGAGTGGATGAAGCAGGTTTCCGTGCGTGGTTGCTTTCGATGCGACTAACATGATCTCTTGTATGGTGAGGATCCATTGACTGAACGCGACTGAGAGGCAGACAGCTACACAGTAGCACTTCTCATTTCTAGCCAACACATCATAAAACTCGTATCTACTAACAAAGCCATTCTTTAAAAATAAAGAAAACACTAATCTTTGATACTCCCTGGGTGCTTGAGTTTCCAACCCC